CACTTTTAACATGGGGTTTGAACTGAAATAGCAGTTTTGTAGCTTGAGCTTATGCTAGTAAAAATCAGAAGCTTTTACGGCCCAGCGATCACACTAGGCAAATATATTCCATTTCTTGTTCCGAAAAGTGTCTTGGTCAGGAATGTGTGTTTTAATAAGGAATGCAGCTGTGTCATCACCAGCCAATCAGCATGCTGCTTACAGCCAATGAAGCATGCGTATAGGTTTGAACTACGCAATATAATTGGCCAACGCGTAATAAGCTTCCGCGTCAAGCATTATTTTATATAGAATATAGTTCTTCCTATATTTAAATAAAGAAAATAATCCTTATCAAATAAAATTTTATTCTATTATCTGTTTATTTTGAGCATAAAAATCATAAATCCATTACAAAAACTAATTTCAGGAAAGTGAACTGTTCCCTTTAACTACCGAGCGTCCGGCGGATGCAGCCGGAGACGGTGACGGAGAGCGGAAGGGATCTTCCGGAGGACTGCGCGGACAGTAAGGTGACACAACAGTCACTGAGGGTAATGTGCCCCGGAAATTATTGGTGAAATCAGTTCGTCTGTTATTTGGTGACCAGTGCCACTGAAGGCAATGGAGTCGGAGACCAGAGCAATGACATTTTCAGTATCAGATGAACTTTCAATCATATTTTGTAGCCCAAATGCTTCAAAGTTTCTGTTCAATCCGTCCACACCGGACGATGCCAGGAATCGATAATGAGGCAACTGCCAGGGCACAGAAAACATACAACGAGCAACCAGCTTCCATAGCATTGGCCATTGAGTTCATGACATCAAGCACAATGAGGTATTCGATACCGTAACGCCAGTCCCTCATCCGCCCCATTTAACTTGATACATTACATCCGCAGTGCACGCCCTACCCTCTGAAAGCTCCGGACGTTCGGCACAGCTGAGGCGCCGTTTAAAGGGAGCCCCGATTGAGGTCCGTCTATGCCCAATTAGTCGACAGACAGAGCGGCAAGGCCGGAAGCGGCCGCCGCCGGCCGTGCACTCCGCACGCCCGTATCATGAATAATGTATCGTCCGATCCAGCTGGTACCCATTGAGGACTGCCGCGGGCCGGACCGGTGCCGACCCGCAGAAGACGGTGGCCCGCACGGCCGCGGAGCCGGGCCCGAGCGGCTGCAGTGTGCGCTCTACGCCGGCACTGCCCAGGGTGGTCTAATGGCTGCATCGGGGAGGGAGGGAGGGAGCGCTGGAGCCGGGCGGGGCTGGGTACGCGGAGGCGGCAGCCGGCAGCCAGTCCCACCGACCGCAGCAGTGGCCGTCCCACCGACCGCAGCAGCCCCGAGCAGCCACCAGCAGGGCGGTCACTCAGCTACCACAGTCTTGCGGACCCGCCAGAGCCGGTCCGCATTCACAGCACGTCAAAACAATGGAGAAGGAATTCAACACAAACAGTCACACAATGGGCGCCGGCAACCTGCACCAAACACAATCGATAGGAAAATATTTTGCAGGCGAGCTTTCAATGCCTCGTCGGTTTATTTATCTAGCAGTAAGACAGATGAACCTGTAGTTATTGTTCTCGATAATGACTGGATCATCGACAACGGGAGCGGTGTATCAGGAGCACCAACATTATCTAAGCCCACAGTATGACCACAAATGGTGCACACTGAGGAAAGTTTCGCCTTCAGGTGGCAGTGAGGCCGGGCGGCGGTTGCTGAAATGCAAATCAGTTCGGTAGACTAGGTACCGAGAGACGAGCCCGCTCCTGCCGTGGACGCACTGCGATACCCGCCCATATCAAATATCTGTGACGACATAAATCCCCGGCTCGGTGGCTGCAAAGACCGATGATGAATGGACCGCTGGCGCAGCGACAGGCGTATGCGGATCACCGTGCAGCGGGCAGGCCCGACGCCCGGTCACGTGACCGCTGACCCTCCACCGCGCCGCGCTGGCTGGGCGGACTCCGCCACGGCCCGAGCAGTTGGCAGCACTCGACGTAGTGGATAGTCGGTGAGCGTAGTGCATAACGCGTAGGGTAATGTGGATTTCGCTCGCAACACGGATCACGCTGTCAGAAATTGGAATAGCTTTTTCGCAAAAATAAAATTCAAGCGGTCTATGCCCGTAACCATCGAGAGCTTGCCGCGAGCAAGACTCTCAAGAAGAAAGTAATTCCAACCACAAGTAATGACACTTGAATCGACTATGAACATGATACTGAGCATGACAATAGCAAGGTAGGTATAACATGAACGAGATAGATCATTCACCGGATATCAGAGGTTTAAATTGTTGGTTCGGCATTCGTCGACCGTTTGCTTTCTGGTGGAGGAGTTTACCAGAATTTTGCCAGAAATGGTGCGCATTCTCAGTACCACTTGATTTCACGACCCTACTTGGTCCTGCTCCTGTCCAGTCAAAACCTGTCGGTTTTGCAGCTATCGAGTCTCGGACCTCCCAGTCCAATCCCAGTCTGTGGTCAGGGTTCTTTTGACTTCCTGACCTGACCTGCCGGTCCTTCGTTAAGGGTTCTTTGACTCGCTGACCTGACCTGCCGGTCCTGCGTAAAAGGTTCTTTAACTCGCTGAGTAGACCTGCCGGAGCTGCGGATCTCTGATCTCTCGGGCTGATGTCCGGACTCCTCTAAACGCTGTTCAGGTCGCTCGGAGGGGCCCGAGGGGGAGGGGGAGTGTCACACCGCGTGTCATTATCGTATGTATGATTTGTTCCTGAGCAACTTCGACTCAATAATCTGTTTAGGGAGGGCTCTTTGGAAGTGTCGTCTCTTGTCCCTTGAACATTCTCGATATTATCAACGTATGATCCTTTTAGGTAGATTTATTCTCTAGGTGAAGTTTTTGTGGTGAAAGGTGAATGAAATAGACGGCAGGTCAGTCAGAGTCATGCTGGTGGATCCTTCTGGCGGTCTTGGACGCTGGGGGGGGGGGGAGCACACCCCAAAAATTATCCGAATTCCAAAAATTCATCGGATTTCGATTCCTTAAAGGGACCCTCCCACCTTAACATTAGTTTTGAGTTGAGATAGCCAAGTTTGCGGCCAGGCTCAGAAACCACCATTTATCCTGGTCGCAACCCCCACAGCTTTATGGTGTTCAAGAAATTTCTTCCCTTTACTTGCAGGGTGGGACCAGCGTGGTCCCTATCTCTTAACCATTACGGGAATCTGATGACGTCATCAGGCTTTCGAACATCCGTTAAATGTTTGACTAAAACGTTTTGTAGCACGCGGTGGTATATGCTGCTTTGCGCGCAACAAATGCCGCACTTTCAAATAAAGTCGCTAGGAACAGCGGAGATCCCAAAAAGTAAACAAAAGTAAAAGTCTAATATCTTGAAAACCGGTGAATATTTTTCGATGAAATTTGGTAGATATTCGTTTTTGCTCTTTCTGAACCGAGCGACATCACTTTCATGCCAATTCATTAACTTTTTTGAAGGTGGGAGGGTCCCTTTAAGTATTGCTGCGCCATTTATGATTTACAATGAACTTTTGCTCATAAATGTTGTTAAGCCTTTGTTTTATTCTCCAAAAACCGTCAATTTACGTCGATTTCGGGCGCTGCGGGGGAACATTTGCCTCTAATGTTATTTCCCCTGGATCCGCTAGTGGAGCATCAAAGAGTGCAAGCCATAGACCCCAGAACCGGCGGATCAGGTCAGGGAATCGTACAAATTGGCATCAGTTCGAGGGGTCACATCCGCAGAATCAGCAGGTCAGGGCAGAGAGCCGCGAATCGGCAGGTCAGGGAGCCTTAGCCTCAGCCCGCACACACGACGTGGGCGGGACCTCAGTTAATGTGTATTGTGTAACTCAGTCTCCCAGTATGGTCATCGGGGTCTTGACATCACACAACCCATACGTCAATGAGATATCGGCCCGGCGGCCGGTGTCCTCGATGACGCCGGGGGATTGACATTGGAGCACCGGCCGCGGGACGGCCCCCAGTCCCCACGGAGACCTGTGTGTTCACACGGTCACACGGTCGGCGGCCGGGGGCGTGTCGCCTGTCACTGGCAGCGTGACGCGCCGCGCCGGCCGGCCGCCACCTGGTGGGAGCGGCCCCGGTGCACACGCCGCCGGCTTCCTGTCATTACTCGCGGAGGGAGGAGGGAGCGACCGGTAGGCGCGTCCAGTGGCCATCGCAGCACGCCGTACGCACCGTCTGGACACCGGGGGCGCCCGGAGATACAGCACCGCCTGGACAGCAGGGGGCACTCAGAGGTACCGCAACGGGGGCACCCAGAGGTACCGCACCGGGGGCAGTGGCACCCAGAGGTACCGCACCGGGGGCACCCAGAGGTAGTGCACCGTCAGGACAGCAGGGGCGCCCGGACGTACCGCAGGTGACGAGCACCAGCAAGGACTACGGAGCCGCTTCTTGGATGGGCAGTGACCATCGTATTGCCATATGACGTGTACCCTACTCAGCTCAGAACTGTGTCCATGCACGAGCAAACGCACCATGGACATGAAATGACGAAGTAGCTTCAGAGAACCTGGTCAGCAGCTCCCGACAGTACACGTTGACAAAAGCAGCAGTTAGTCGTGTTCTTCACCTTCATGCCACACTAGTGACGCTAGATGCCTTGTTCCCGTAGCACAGCCTCTTCGGTTAGATAATACCTAACAGAAGGGGCGTCATCTAACCTGGTTCAGCTGCTACGGTATCCAGCAGGTCAAAAACATCGAGACGGCCTAGTCATCTTCCAAAAGACAGTAGGCGACCCTTAGACTCCCCGTCGTCTACGATTCATGCTGCAGCGCCGCTCTCTGCTCGATGCGCCAGGAGCGGGCAAACATATCCGTCTCGATGACGTCAGCCCAACTGAATACCGTTTTCTCCCGACTTATGAACGCTATCCCAAACAAAACACGCCATACAAGCTGGGGTGTTTTAGAGGTGCCCATGGGACAATGCAGAGCTGTCTAAATGCACATCACTTCGGGGAACAACGTTGTCAGCCGCAGACGGCTCGGTCGGCACTCACCTGACGTAGACCACCAGTCCGTTACTAGTGACGCGATTCCAGCCCTCGGGTGCCGTCACTGAGTGCACGCCGGCCAGCCGCGCCGGCGGCGACAGGCTCTCCTGGCTCAGAGAGCTGCACGACGACTCGGCCGCGTCCGAGCGCACGGACTCGCAGCGGCGCGGCGAGCCGGGCGTCGGCAGCCCGCCCACCATCACCGTCGTCACATAGTTGCTGCCGTCACCAGCCGCCGCGGATACGGCGGCGGCGGCGGCCCGAGGTTCGGCCCAGGCCGCCTGCTGCTGGTGGTACTGCAGCTGCTGCTGCTGCAGCTGTCGGTACTGGAGCTGCTTCCAGTAGTCGATACTGGGCGCGGACGGCGGCGGGGCGCCGGACGGCCAGCCGCCGCCCGGCGGAGGCGCGCTCATCTCCTGGTCAGACTGGCAGCGCCTCCATCGACGGCGCTGTGCGCTGCAAGAGGAGACACGACCGTCAGAGAGATCAAACACCAAAAGCTGCCTTTCCGGAGAATGGCATGCATAACAAACCACTGCAATGAGCATTGTAATAAAAAATCAGCTTCAGAGACTGTCTTTAGAGATGGCATTGCTATCAGTTTCAATATGCAGCTGTTTCAGTGTCAATCGCACTGATGAAAGAGAACTAAATCATCATAATAATGAATATATTCCTGAGTAAAATCTAAAACAAATAGAATAGAGTCAATTAAAACTGATGATAGACTAAATCTGAAACTGTTGCCAATTTTAATTTTATATTTTACTTAGGAGCATAGACACTGTTACGATGTCTGTTTACTTTAAGCAATCCAATCAACAGCAGGATCGAAGCAAGATACAGGTTCCATGACAGGTCAATTGTGTTTATCTTGTCAAGACTAATCGCAACATGACCTTTTTGGTTCTTCTTGTGACCTTGACCTGAGGTCAAATTTTCAATTTGAGGTTTTGAGTTCATCTTATATATCATTGATAACCTTGAAATGCCGCACCTTGATGAAAGACATGCAATGGTGATTAAATTATTGATGTAGCTTTATTGTGTGAGAAGTTATGCCCAAAAACCAGTTTCATCAATATTGGCTATTTTGGCGATTTTTTACCCCTGCAGGCCAAACCATTGACCTGAGGTCAAAGCTGATGCCTTAATTCAGATAGTGCTGTAAATGGGCTATCATTTTTCTGCACCACTCCAGCTCTTCTGGTTCTAGAGTTAGAGCGCCTGAAGCTGAAAGTTACAAAATCTAACTTTGCTGACCTCTGGTGACCTTCAAAAGGTAATACCCATCAAACATAGCACTGCACTTTTGGACTAAAACTGATAAAACAAAGGTACCTTATAGAGGTTGGTAGCAGAATTGTGGAGTTGAGGAGTTGTGAGTTGCGGATTTATGATCTGCAAAATAGTTTCGTAGTTGCACTTGCGCTTTGGGTACATCATGTTGCAGAGTGTTGTGGTAGCAGTTTCCATAATAAGGTAACGATGCCCACCTCTGCGTAAAATACAAAGTATGAATGTATACTTGCAACTACAAGGAAAGGAATCATCGTTAGATCAATAGACCAAAGTTCAATAACGTCAGTTGCCTAAAAAATGTTTTTTATAACAACACCCATAAGAAGTGTGATTTCTCCACTTAAAATTATCATAAGGCTTCTTCATTTTATCAAAACAAGTAAATATAAAAGCAAATTGACATAAGAGACAGTTTTGGCGCAGCACAACAAAAGTAAAACAGCTTACCATGCTGTAGTCGCACCTTCAGGATTTCCGAGAAAATAACAAGGAATAAATATTTATCCAAATGTCTTTCCAACTCTACCTGATGTTTCAGTAGGTAATAGCAGGTATATCTCAAACAACACCAACCGTCACCGTACCCTCCCACACTGCAATCCAACGAAAATAAACTGAAGCCAGAAACTACTATAGGCTACCATATGCAGTAGGTTATTCTGTAGTGCAATTTTGTAGGGTATCTCTGGGTATTTTTATCAAAAATGTTGGAAAGAAGATAAATATTTATCTGGAACAGTAATACTCGAAGCCTAACTGTTGTTCTTATTATGCCAATTTGCTCTTTGTTTATATTGCCGAGCAGCATACAGCTCGTAATTGTACGTACATACGTTGTGGTTGATCGACATCGAGAGCGACGCTGCGGCCGCCACACAAACACAGGCCTCGGGATCTTGGCGCTAGATGGCAGGAAGTGTAGCTCACCCTGGCGAATCAGCAATAAGGGCTGGTGACGGATAGATATAGCGAAGCACCTTTGGTCCTTGGGGCGATAAGCGAGTGTTCGTGCGAACGATCCCTTGACTCGCGCACGTACAAACTGGCTGGGCTCAAATTAACTTGTGCAGGACAATGGACAGTGCCCAGTGGACACCCTACTAACCGGTCCCCTACAGTGTTGACTGTTGTAGTGATTGGGTAGAAACAGCTGATCGGGTAAAAAACGGGTGCCCGGGGTGGTATTGTCCATTGGACTGGACAGTTGATCAGGCAGAGACCGGGTGCCCGGGGTGGTATTGTCCATTGGACAGTTGATCGAGCAGAGACCGGGTGCCCGGGGTGGTATTGTCCATTAGACAGCTGATCGGGCAGAGGCCGGGTGCCCGGGGTGGTATTGTCCATTGGACAGCTGATCGGGCAGAGACCGGGTGCCCGGGGTGGTATTGTCCATTGGACAGTTGATCGGGCAGAGACCGGGTGCACGGGGTGGTATTGTCCATTGGACAGTTGATCGGGCAGAGACCGGGTGCCCGGGGTGGTATTGTCCATTGGGCAGCTGATCGGGCAGAGATCGGGTGCCCGGGGTGGTATTGTCCATTGGACAGTTGATCGGGCAGAGGCTGTGCGCCCGTGGCAACGTCCATTGGACAGCTGATCGGGCAGGGGCTGTGTGCCCGGGGTGCTATTAGCCGTTTTTACGACGGTCTATCCGGCGAGTGCACCTAATTTGACCAAATCTGCACCTGATCTCTTTAACAGCAAATATCTTCATTTTATGAATTTATTTCAGTGTTTTAATCGATGATGCTCTCTGATAATATGACAAAGCAGGCATATAAGCAATTATTGTAACCCTAGCTTATAGCTACAAAGAGACACACTGAACCTGATTTGACCAAATCTGCACCTGATCTGGACCAGATGTGCACCAAATGTGTACCAGATGGCCGTCGTGAAAACGGCTATTGTCCATTGGACAGTTGATCGGGCAGAGACCGGGTGCCCGGGGTGGTATTGTCCGTTGGACTGTTGATCGGGCAGAGACCGGGTGCCCGGGGTGACCGGTGGCGATGTCCAATGAATAGCTGATCGGGCAACGTCCATTGGACAGCTGATCGGGCAGGGGCTGTGTGCCCGGGTGTGTGCCCGGGAGAGGCGCCGTGCGACGCACGGTGAGCGTAGTCGGGCCCGCAGGCCAGGACCGACGGTATTTAACCCTCGCTCCGCCTACGAGAGGGTTCAGTGCCCGGCCGAGTTACCGCAGGATACGTCGGATCATCCCTGCTCACAAAGGTGGGTCAACTTAACTGCGCCATCTGATGCATAGGATTTTCACGCGGATGCTGCTTGAAGCCAGTGAAGTTTCCGATACAAAGTGCAATGATGACAGTGGTTTTGTTGAGAGGTATGAACATCAAATCTGGATGCGATCGCTACCTACTTACGGAGTCCAAAAGGTACGTCATTCAAACATCCAGTCATTAAGTCATGCGAGTGATTGTGACCTCCGATTTTCGATCTTCAAAATCCGAATCGAAATTCCGAAATCTGAATCGGAATTCCGAATTCCGACTCGGAATCCCGAAATCCGAATCGGAATTCCAAATTCTGATTGCAAAAAGGCCTTTTGCGATTTTTTATCCAGTCCCTTGCGATTTGTTGCGAATCTCTATAAAAAAAACGGCAGCACCTAACCATATAATAACATGCTGTGAATCTTTCAGGTCCCCCTCTTTCAAAGTCGGGTCAACAGGTCACGTCAGTTGACATGACCTCTTCTAAGGTCACTTAAAGGGACCCTCCCACCTTCAAAAAAGTTAATGAATTGGCATGAAAGTGATGTCGCTCGGTTCAGAAAGAGCAAAAACGAATATCTACCAAATTTCATCGAAAAATATTCACCGGTTTTCAAGATATTAGACTTTTACTTTTGTTTACTTTTTGGGATCTCCGCTGTTCCTAGCGACTTTATTTGAAAGTGCGGCATTTGTTGCGCGCAAAGCAGCATGTACCACCGCATGCTACAAAACGTTTTAGTCAAACATTTAACGGACGTTTGAAAGCCTGATGACGTCATCAGATTCCCGTAATGGTTAAGAGATAGGGACCACGCTGGTCCCACCCTGCAAGTAAAGGGAAGAAATTTCTTGAACACCATAAAGCTGCGGGGGTTGCGACCAGGATAAATGGTGGTTTCTGAGCCTGGCCGCAAACTTGGCTATCTCAACTCAAAACTAATGTTAAAGGAAATAGTTCACTTTCACGAAATTATTTTTTTTTTTGCAACGGATTTATGATTTTTTATGTTCAAAATAATCAGCAAAGAAAATAAAACCTTTTTATAACAAAATATTATTTTCTATATTTTGATATAGGAAGAACTTTTCAGTTTCTGTAAGGCACACGCGATCCAGTATGAAAAGAGCATGGGTCCCGAAAATTCTTCAGAAACAGAGAAATTATCGCAGCCACCGGCATTTGGGCGATCTGCTCGATCTGATAATGTTCCCCTGAATGTCCTAATTGATCAGTACGAGAATTTCTCTAGAGTTCTCGTAGATAATTTCTCTAGTTTCTGAAGAATTGTCGGGACCCATGCTCTTTTCATACTGGATGGAAATATATGCAAGGCACACATCCTCAACGCAAGACACCTTTTTCGGGACGAGAAATAGAATATCTTTGCCTAGGGTGATCGTTGGGCTGTAAAAGCTCCTGATTTATGCTCGTCTCAGCCCAAGCTACGGAACTGCTATTCCAGTTCAAAACCCATGTTAAAAAGTGAACTATTTCCTTTAAGGTGGGAGGGTCCCTTTAAGGTCGCCCTTGCCTCAGAAAAAGTTCTAATGCTCGTCAAAGCCACACCGACTGACCGATCACTTTGAAACTTTCAGCGATTGCTACGGAAATAACATGAATTAAACGATGCCTCATAATTCTGATATTGGTAACCTAGGATCAGGATAATTCTACCACCTCTCCATTTCAAATGAATCGGAGGATATTGTGAAAACTTTCTTCTTTTGAACGAATGCTGCGCCTAACCTTCTAAAACCTCTCAAACGCTTGGTTACAAATAAACATGAAGGTATTAAAACGGAAAACTGCACCCGTTCCCTTCTTTTTACCCATTAGGTCATTGTGGGTAACGAAAGCCTCAAACATGACGACGTAATGACCTCTAACTGACCTCAGGTCAATGACATCAAAAAACCCGAACTATATGTTATACAACTCGGTGAACATAGCACATCCTGAAAGTTTGAAGGAAATCAGTCCAAAACTGTGAGTTGGACACGTGCAAAAAGAAAATTGAAATTTGACCATTGACCTTGTACTGGTTTTCTGACCTGGTGACCTGACCCAAGGACACCCGGACCTGAAATTTCAGGTCATATGTAAAAAAGATGCCTCATAGGCTGTGCCAAATTTGGCTTATCTTCGAAAAACCTTAGGGGGGTCGCATCGACCCCCCCCCCCCCCCCCAAGCAGTGGTAGTAGGTATATGCTATTTGCGCGCAACAGCTGCCGCAAGTGCCGCACTTTTAAGATACAAAATTATTGCTTCCAAATGACGTCACAGGAACAGCGAAGGTCCCAAAAGGTAAACAAAAGTAAAGTGTGATATCTTGAAAATCGGTGAATATTTTTCGGTTAAATTTGGTAGAAGCGCGTTTCAATATTTTCCTTTGACTCACGAGTACGTACCTATTAAAAAGACGTCGTAAAATTAAGCTGACCATTGCACAATGGGACCAGAGCGAAAATTAGCGCGACATCGGTACTTTTTCGTGTTTCGTGCTCGCCTTTCACGTGAAAGGGATGATATACAAATGGTAGTCGGTGTACTTTCTAAGCAATTTCTGATAAATTTGATTAATCAATAATTAGTAATTTAATTAATTAATTGATTAGTTAATTAATAAGTTGACCTGCGCTGACCTCGACTTGGTTCGGTCACGTGATAAGATGGCAACACCTGTTAGGTCAGGTCAGGTCATGACGGCACCGGAAATTCCGATAAGCAAATAATGTAGCCACCAAGCAAGACCATGATGGGAATCTGATGGCCTACTACATGACTATATAACAAATTAAGTACGGGTCAGGAAAGTGTATCAGACACTCGGAAAGCAGGTACGGATATGTCCGGACAAAACTTAAATATAGTTGGCACTTGGCAAGCTTGTACAACCCCTGAGGTTCTGTTGCTCACAGCTTCCGGCCGGCTCGCGGTAACCGCGCACGGCCAGCGCCGGCGACCTGAAGTAAAAAAAATGCCCCTCATTTTCACTGTGGCAGGCTGAGGCAGCTGAACTATACATTTTCTGAAAGGCAATTGATTGGTTAACACCATAAAGATAAAAGAAGAGCGGGACCTAGCGGGATTTTTTATATCGGCATTCCATAATATTTATAACAGCAAAATTAACTCGAAAAGCATTTAAGAAAACTTAGCACTTGAAGCGTATCTATATATTCCGCTAAAAGTTTTTCTTTCCATCGTAAAGCCCATGGTCTAAACTATCAGGCTAGACCCCGAAAGTATTGATAAAGCCGTCTAATATATATTTTTCTTGCCTACATTAGCTGCTACTTTTCTCCGTACGAAAACGGGTCTACGATGCTTGTCACGGAACTTTGTGTTTGGGCTGATGTGGCGTGGACGCTGTACACCATGGACGAAAAATATTTGCAGATTCGTGGTCCATGGACATTTCTGAACTAAGTGACACAGTTTAAATAAATTTGTGAAAGGTCGGCAAATCCACCAATGTCGCGCTAATTCCGGTCGCGGTCCCATCGTCCATTGGTTGAATTCTCTATAGACTCCATAATTTTTCTAAAAATGTCGATAAGTTGTGAAATAGGCGAGATGACGGTGAACGAATTCTATAAATCATGAAAAAAACATGTGGAAAACGAGGTGGGCGTAATACGCCTAACTATATAACTAATCATGAATGCCCAAATAACCATGTTTGAGTGTGCAGATCAAGCGTTGATGACCGTCTCTGCGTTCTTGATGTGTTCCAGATGTGGTCTCGCGCTCTTTCAGCGCTCACGCTGGTTTTGCTGACTCTGGCCATCAGTTGCTTGCTGGGCACCACAGGTAAGGAGTTGATGCAGCCGCTATGTATGAGGACTGAGGGGCTTCTGACCTGTACCTTACTTAGGAGCTGACTTTTCCGTCGGCCCTTGTGAGTGGTGACGCTTTAAATCTTAATCGTAATTCTAAGGGCAAATCCACAGAATAAGACTCTCCCGCACCCGAGTCTCAAAGCGTCAACGAACCTAAGACAGATGAGAATGCAACTATAAAATGGACATAAAATACCGTATATCACCAGTCACCACTGGTAAGCCCAAGATTTTTGACGCCTATACATAGTAAGTTGCGTGCACTTGAACGGTTTGCCCGTGCAGATGCGCGTCTGGAGCCGACCGGCCGGGTGCTGGTGCAGCACCGCACCGAGACCATCACCGAGCTGACGTCGACCGTCACCACCAAGTTGTACACCTGCATCACCGGGTTCGCCACCTCGCCGCCGGCCTGCTCGGGTCGCCGGCGCCGGCGCCGTAGCCAGCCCAAGGGCCACGGGGCGCCCGAGCACCTTCCATCCGCCGCAGCGTAAGAATTTATTGATCTTTTATTTATTCACTGGAAGAGACACACCGACTTAAGCGCAATTTTCAGAGTGTCGATCATCGACTGTTGCCGTGCTAACTGGAAACGTGTTTCGACATTTTTGGACAGATGCTCGCTTTTTAAAATCTTACCTGTCGAAGACAACAGCGCGTTGTTGAAGTGCCATTAGATTGGTGTCCAGCTGTGAGTGGTGTGCCCGAGGGCTCTATTCTCGGACCGAGCCTTTTTTTTTTTTGCTTATAATTACAATACCTATTCCGGAGCTCTTACTTTATCGCAATCATCATCCTGACGACTCATGATATTCGTGCCATGTCAAGCAGACAGCCGTTCTACACATGGGTATCGAATGTCAATTTACTGATAGTAACATCTGGTATAACTTTTCTATTTGATCTCTATTTTCAGTCGGTCGGTGACGGCGCTGGAGTCGTCGCTGTCTCACACTCCGGTCAAGAAGGGCCGCTTCCTCTACACGTACATGAAGAGGGTGACGACGACGGTGGTCACCACGGACACGTCGTACATCAGCTCCGCCACGGTTATGATCGCGCTCGAGTGCACAGTGGACGGCGCGAACCTCATCAACATGCCCAACTGCCCCTAATAGACCGGCGCGACTCTCATCTGAGGAACGACACCGTACACAAATCATTTGAAGAAGATGATAAACGAGTGTATTATAAGAACTGATTTACTTAACAATTGTTTCTGCTCTCCAGCGCTCTGGCAAAAGATCATACGAGCATTTTGGTTGGGATTGTTTAAAGATTTTACGTCGAAAGTCGAAAGTTGCAGGCACTGTGGACATAAAATACAGAAACGAGAGGAGGCCTGATATCCATGCCGCAAAAAGTGTGACAGACTGCGTGTGAGAAAATATCATGATAGCAGGTATGCGTTATTATTTGAACTGGGCTCTGTTCTTTGTTTGCCCTTAGTGTGGTGGCGACGTGGGAGCTTTTGAGTGGATGAATTATTGATGAATTTTGCAATACATAGATGAACATTGCATGATTTCGTTTTCTGGGTCGTTGCATGCTTCAACACCTGCTCCCCTGAGCAATGGGTACAGTGCATAGCTAAGGCAGTGCAGTTGTTAGATTCTTATCACGGCATGAGGAGCCCTATCCCCTTCCCCTCCATACGCACACACATTGCTACCACTATAACAGAATGACTTTCAATTAGAGCACTTCACGGATAGGCTTTTCAGGATCCGGCCCGGCCCATATCCGGCAAGTCATATCCAGATCCGCCCATTATCCGTGTTTCTTTGAATTTCAAAATCCGGCCCGCCCATGGCCCGTATCTCAGCCATACATCCAAAAAATATCCATAATAATCCGTTTCATTACAAACCGGTTGTGAGACTATCAGCATATCGCCATAAGATCCAAATGTTGGACACTAGGAAGCTATCAAATTGTAATAACAGCAATCTTAGCCACTGCAAAATACATTTTGTGGTAAAAGCTGCATTGCTAAGGATAGAGGTAACACATTGACATGGACCTCAGCATTTCACAAGGTTGGCTATCATTAGAATTGTTAAGAATCTACTGTGGTCTATAAAAGGAAGAGTACTTATTCATATAGCAAAACCACAATCAATTAGTAAGTCAAATGGTAGGTAATAATAAGTATAATACAATGAATAAATAAAGTTTCATGACATTGGCAACATTCTATATGGGAAAAGGCAGAGCCAGAATCAAAACACCTCAAAACACATTGTTTGGAAACTAGCCTTGGAATGTGGTCTGACACACTCTACAAAGAATTTGACACTGAAAACCCAGCTGAAAAGGTAGGTATTAAATAGCCTTGAGCCTGACTTTGGTCCTAAAATGAAAGGAAGATAAGTTAAACCGGCATTTTGTCGTATCAACAAGACGACACAACACAATACACAGACAAAATTGACGATAGTGGCGCAAAAAAGCAAGCAAGGATTGATTTTTTTAAGATCCGCTCTCTCTTTATGAAATAGGCGAGCTGATGACGTAATATTGATTCGTTTACCCTTTAAGTTGAATTTCTGATCAGAAAATGTTTTTTTGGCGTCATTTACACTGAAAATGTTGATAACATCAGAATTTAATATCGTCTTGGATCGTTTTTATTTCTAAAAAAATCATCCGCGAGGCATTGCGCCAAGTTTAAAACTTTTTTTTTGCAGCGTTTTATTCAGCTGGTTAAAAGCATCTGTTATTGCGCATGTGTTTCTAACCTTGCGCAGTGTTTGTTGCTGTCTGGAAGGCTCTCTCTATCGCCTGGATAAAAATAGGCCCCGCCCATCCCAATCAGCTGCTGCATGACGAGTTGATGACGACAACCACTACTTACCAGCAACCAATCTAGGGATAGCGTACGTGACAGTAATGGTGCAGCGGTTGCAAAATATTACATTGTTATTCAAACGGTTTTTGCTATTAGGGCCTTGTTAGATGAGGATGAGGTTAGATTAGATGAGGTGTTGATGAAGGCAGGTATTTTTTAAAAATATTTTTTTGACAATTTTTTGCCCTTGTTTTACTTAATAGCTGAACCCGGGACCACCTGAAGTCTAAACCTTATTTTATATAACATGTCAATGCTGATGCTGTCTTGAAATCAAAATGTGAAATTTAGACAATGGTAATAGGAATAATGAATAGCAATTTCACCAACAACATTTTAATCTCTAGGAAGTGCAATTAAAATTGAAATCACTGTCTGCCACACTGCTCCATCCTGGTCATGCAACCAACGTTCATGGGTGGTGTTTCACGGCAGAGCACGCACTGCAGTGCTCAGCACTGCAGTGCGCTGCGTGTGTCAGAGCATTGGGTTTCCATGGCAGTGTCAACAAACTTCACTGTGACGCTAAGCTATGACAGCATCCCAGAACGCTAGCACGCTGCGGTACCAGCACCAGCAGCATGCTAGCAGTATTTGAACTCAAACCTCTGTTCTTGGTACGGTTTTTCAGAACCTCTCACTCTGTTCCAAACGCGATTGATCATAAACTAAGAGGTCACATGCAACGTCATTTGAGTGATGCTATGGTATGCCGTAGCTACCAGTGCACACAGTGTCTGGATGGTGAAACAGGGCCATTATTAATCACATTTGCTTTGCTTTGTTTCAGCAGAAACCTGTCTGCACATGGGAGGAGCGCAACAAAAGCCCATCAAGTTCATGCATGGCAGTGGATCTCAACAGGAGAAAACCAGAAAGAACATGGATGCTTGTAGATTGCAGTTGTACACTGCTGTTATCACCTGATGTGCGTGGCTGGCATTGCTCCTGGCAAGAACCACCTGCAAGTGATGAGATGGTGCCTCAGTCGTTGAGTGTGCTGCAGTGTGAGAGGCGCCCTGATCTCTACTTTGTGATGGGTTTCCATTGGAGGTTCAACTGAGAAGTGAGAACTGACTGTGACCATGCTTGAGCATGCCAGTGGAGCTTTACATGCTTAGGGCAGCTTTTGAACAGATGCTGACCATGGCATGTCCCATCCAGTTATCACGTGCACAGAATGGTGGGGGGGAGGGCAACTCTGGGCTCTTGAGTCAGCCCTACTGCACAGGGGGTACAGATGGCCGCTTACGTTTGGTGTGTCCTGCACTGCATTATCAAGCCCAGTCTGCGCCACAGGCAATGGGTCGGGCTGCACTATGTTAAAGGCAGACTATCTTGCAAAGGAGGCTGGCATCCTCTCCCATAATGACACACCAATTGGCAATCATCGCTGCGATGATCACGAGGGTGTCCGCTTATCTAACATGGTGAGGTGGAGAGCCAGTTCAAGCTGGCCTGAGGGATGGTTTTACTTCATCTGAGGCCCCCTTTCCCCGCCTGCCAGGTCCGGTCAAACGACCGCTTCACAGTGAACGACTTGCAGTGGATGCCGTCCCACAGCGCAACGAGCTCGCCGACCAGAGGCGGCGGCCAAGAGGCGGCCGCGCTCCCCCAGTCGACGGTCCCGGTGGACGTCGGCAACGCCCACCGCGCGACCATCAGATCGGCTCGCGACAGCGCCGTCGCCGACTGACCGCATGACTGGTATCTGTTCTTGATGTGGGACCGACTGCCACCGCCGGTCGCGGAAGGGCATCGCTCATCGGCCATCGACGTCCGCCAGCTTCGCGTGGGTCACTGTTCGGGCTGCCACCAATACACCGAATCGGATGGAACCCTGTCGGCGAATGCCGGCGGTGCCCCGACATCGACTGCGCGGCGGCCAGTGCATCGCGTGCCGGGAGGAGGCTGGCACCCCCGATCGGTCATTGGTCACAAACCGTGTCCCAGCTCATGACTGCATCCAGCGCAGCTCTGTGAGATGTTCTGCAGCTGCTGCAGTCTGCCGCGTGTGTTGAAAGAAGAATGAACATGAGAAAACCTCAAAACTTTATGCCTATTCGTAATTGACCAGTATTGGAATAAGTTTGGATTTTGAGAATTTGTGTCCCTGTGCTTGTGCCTGTGTGGAAAGGCATGCTTTACGGTGTACCATCTCAATGTCAAATCCCGGCTGCGCTGTGCGGATTTGTGCGGCTGCTGACAGGCCACCTGGGTGCCAACGTATGTGCGAATCCGCGAATACGTTGTGTTTCGTCAGTCAGTATCGTTCTGAAAATATTGACTAGGCTATATAATAGGCTATATAGCGTATGACGGTTCAGCCCAGCAGTAATAACTGACCATTGATTGGGCGAATTTTGTGTGGTGGTTCGCTAATACATAACCTAAAGAGTGTTTTGCCGGAATCGTTTAGTAGCAGAACTGACCGGAATATAAGTAGAATGCAACGGTTTGAATCGTTAATTTGTTGAAACGATTGTTCTCTGAGACCACTGTGTAACTTTTGACCTGAGAATCACCAATTATAACGACAATGGGGAAGCAGTAGGCTGTACTGTAGAGTGTAGGCAGGCAACACTATATAGTTGGCACACTTACGAAAGCACACGACTTACGCAGTGGACATCTGCATCATGCATGTTAAGGTTTACTGGGAAGAGTGAGAAATTAGTCAGAATATAACTGACTAAGGAAAATAGGCGATATTTCCTATTGAGCTGGGGCGGAGAGGGGGAGGGGACGTGTGGTCAGCTATGCTAATAATTCATTCTCTTTATGCAGCTGTGTAAAAGGGCGTCCGTTTTTGGGTGAGACCTTCCCCATCGGCCATTTCCAAGTTAAATCGTGGTGGAGAGTCTGGAGACCTCAGCCTCGGTAGTCGGTACCCTGCGCGCTGCGCCACCTTGCGAAACATAAAGCAGCAGTCCTGACATCTACAGGCGTGACTTTTCATGAAAGCGCGGATGTGTTCGCGCTTATGCGAAGAAAGTTCTTCCGAGTATGGTTGATAATGAGATTAATTGTTGTCATTTATTTATTAATTCATTGGCAAAAGTACCCTAATAAATCGGTAAAATAGCTTGAACTGTATCGTATTTCCTTCGGAAAAAATGACGAACTCATCCTAAGACATCCAGATTATTGGATGCGTTCGTCAGTTGTAAGTAGTTCAAGTTTTTGGGAAAATTTGCTTGTGGAAAATCATAATATTTCAAAGATATGCCTATTTTCGAATAATTTATGCATTTATCTGCATTGAAAAATGATTGTAAAGCAAAAGTGCAAAAGATTATTGTCAACTTATTTTCTCAAATCACGATTTACGAACGCACAAAACTCCAGCTTTTAATTTAGTGCGTGTGCGAATTGCGGTCAAGAAAAAATATTTAAACTGTCTATATTCCTCTTAAAACAATGAAGGATGAATGAAGAAAACGCTGTTTTGAACAATTGTATATTTATTTTTTCTTAATTAAGCAAAAGTACAAAATTTTCAACTATTATTACATTTGCTCTCACAAAAACCATCACTTTTTAGCATGACGTCATGTCAGCCAAATTTACTAGCGCCATCTCTGGAGAGCATCTTTCGAAACCTCCAGACGATAGAGAGAGCCGTCTGGAAGATTGAAAAATTCGAGAACGCATTATCGTTTTTATACATATTATATGGGGACTGTTCTCAGGACAAGTGAGTTATTAACACATTTTTTTTACATGATTCGTATCTTATTCAGGAACCAGCGAGCCATGGTGGATATGATGCCATGGCGGTTGTTCTCGCTTCCTCGGTTAGGAACGTGGCTGAGTCTGCAGATTTTATGTTGTGACCATCTATATTTAAAAAATTTGGTTGGTGCTGCCATATACCTTACAGACTATCATGGCTCACAAAGGTATGCTTATAAATCTCATGTAAATCAATTAATACTTCTGCTGCAGTGCCTAACAAGTTAAGTTACCTAATTCTTAACATGAATATTGAATGCTACAATTTTATCCGTTCTGATCCGTGTTCAACATTCAATTCCCAAATCCGGCCCGCCCAGATCCGTTCTATTTTTCCAAATTTGGGATCCAATCCTATCCGGTCCACGGATTTATCCATGGATAACGGATTTATCCGGCCCATGAAGTGTTCTACTTTCAATGCCGGGACAATGTCGGGACATCAGACGGCGATGCTTCCAGCACGGTGTGGCAATACGGGTTCGCAGCGAGGGTGGAGGCGCGGAGTAGCCGACTGGTGCAGATGTGGTCGTTATTTGGCCGCGGGTGGGGGTCGCTGTGCTACCGTGGGTGATGACACGGGTCGCGGATGGGTGACGGCAGGAGGTGGGGAGCGAGCCGCACGCAGGCGCCGCCGCCGCCGCCGCCGACGGGGCTAGGATCGCCGACAGCGACAGTCGGCCGCCGCTCGCCGTCCCAGCGGTGTCCCGCCCCCGAGTCGGACGGTGCTGCAGGGTGCCGGAGACCTGACCCGACCCGACTACCGGTGACTGACAACATCCACGTCCCCGCTGGTGCTCCGTAACTGATCATGTGGTGACGTGAGACACATTGGTGCCGCAGGGCGTCGTGCCCGGTGCTGTAATCGGCCAACAGCTCTAACCAGAGCACAGCCCATCGCCCCGAACAATCGCCGTTTAACTGCGAAAGTCAAAACTAGTGAGAGCTTTACACTTATGTGGTGTTGAAACAGATGCATCCGCACGAATATACCGTCGATTAAGCGATTACTGATACCGCTAGTGCAGTTACAGTGGTTTAGCTTACACGAGGCTTCCCCGATGACCGAAGGCACGCGCTTCAATAGAGGCTCATCGGGCAGCGCGGACCTGGCGAGCTGACTTCTCAGACCTCAGAGTGGCCAGCGGCGCCGGTGTGGGTCGCATCAGCGGCCCGTAGGCCGTGCTGAGCTGGTGATCAGCAGGTGGTCAGCAGCAGGTCAGCAGACGGTCAGCAGGCGCTGGACCAGTCCTCAGAGACGGCGGTATGGGCAAGAAGAACTCCAAGCTGAAGCCGGAGACGGTGGAAACCCTGATGACGATGACCTACTGTGAGTATGTCTTTGGACCGGCTCCGGGAGCCCGAAGGACTTCGGGGTATATACTCGCATGCATACGTGCTCTTGAGTTTTGAACGATTTGTGCACGTGTAGATGACACTGGGTTGGGTTGTGAGCTTCAAAATCTGTTCTTAGATGTTGTGGTTTAATCAGCTAGGCACGTGGTTCAAAGTTTGTAAACGCAGTTGTACTTACCGTCACGTAATAACGTCACCTATCAAGAGCTATATAACGTCACCTAAAAGAGCGTACCGCCGAACAGACGGTGTCTAAAAAATAAACGATACGTACTTTTATTTATTGTTTTTCTTCGGAAGCTAAAAGTTGGCTAGCTAGAAGATAATTTACGAATCCGAGATGACATTTTCACATGACTAAAAACATCAAGTATTTCATTAAGTGCGATGAACAGTAGGTTGAAGTGTAGTGGTAACTGGTTATAGTAGGTACGACATTTAGCCTATAAAATTATTCAGAAGTTTCTTATTTTATAAACATTCTTATTGACTTTCGTTTAATGTTGGTAAGCTGATCATCATTTAAGTCTTTAAGAAAGAAAGACGTTTAATTAATATGCTTCAGAAAGTTAGGATTCCTAGGAAGCTAACTTCCAAAACTTCGGCTGCAAACTTCCAGCAGCTTGTCACATACCATTGGCAAAAATCGTGTTTGGTTACCACGCGCCTAAGTTTTTTGTGGTACAAAAATAGTGGTCAGATTTCCATGCACGCTGATATTTGAAAAAAAAAGATATAGTTGTTCAGACTACGAATAAAACAAATTATACGTAAAAGCATGCCCACCTACAAAAACTCGCTTCGTCCCTCATCTAAATGCACCAGCCGGCTGCGATGCACCTGTGCCATGCATTGAGATGTTCTGCTACATTTGTGTTAGTTACATACTATTACTGTATTGCGTTCCCGCTTGAATTCGGTTTCAGGACGTCTGATGATGTGATTTTCCTTTAACACCTTTTACCTAAACACTTTTACTCTACGTTTAGCGGTTCACGTCCATTTGTATTTGCATTGAAGAAAAACTGAAACGATCACACATGGTCAATTCTAAAATCAAATTTTGCAGTCTACATTATAGGTGTACCTCCAAACACCCGTTTTAATTATGTTCCCAGTGTTTTCAAAATGCCTTCAATGAATGTGCATTGTGCAAGGGATAGGTATGACCAATAGTAAGTAAGTAGCACTTAAATCAATATAAATGAATGTATTTCTGTAGGTTCAGCGCTCTGCCCTGCTTCTGAAAAATGTAAAGCTGAGAGCTTGGCAGGTTTGTATTCCCTTTCTGTGCGATATATACGGGCGCGTTGAATGACGTCCGGTCCCGCTCGAAAGGCGGCTCCATTTAGGGCGACGTGTCCAGCATCTGGGAGCACGCACTGGATATAGCCGATCTCATCGCAGCGCAGTCATAATTTATGGTCGGCCGTACATATAAGGAAGGTGCCAGTTGCCACTGCCAAAGCGAGAGCCAACGCCTCTCGTTGCACCAAAGGCTGACTACATAGGATTAACTGGAGGAAACCGTTTTCGCGAACTGTTTAGCAAACATGCTAACGTTGTTGGCCATTGTGAGGTGGAACAGGATTGTGAGTGAGCGTTTCTGACGTATAGCGACACTGCCAAACAATGACCGGAACGCTGGCGTTTCGCAGTACCCCTATAGAGCGCAATGGCACGAGATCGGTTTGTTTGGAAACGGTTACAAAGGCGCGATTATGTTGTGAAACAATGGCGACAGTCGACTCGTCGAGAGACGGATGTCGGTAGGGAACAGAATCCTGAAAATGTAAGAATTGTATGGGTGAATGTGACGAAGCATTCAAACGGGATTCAATAATCATAAAACAATCTGCTGGCGAGTGGTGCATACCGCGTTAGCAGACCACTTATGTCACATAAGCGGAGCCCCAGTGTAGCGGATAATATAAGGGCACCCGGGCCTCATTTTACCTACAATCACGATGTGACTGACAGAAGAGGGATTTGAGGTGCCAGACGTCACCCCTAGTCCTGTGAAGAATGCACTGTTGATATAATCTAGCTAGCAGGATGGCTAGATATAATCTAGCTAGCAGATCAATATCAACTACCCGACGCTTTGTTAGTAGAATCATATTTAAGTAACCATCCCACCCTAACATTGTTTTTTTACTTTTGAGTAGAGATAGCCAAATTGGGGTCCCTGGCTTGCACTTACCGGTTTGGGTACTCACAACATCGAGAAAGGCTTTAATTCGGAGATATTTAACTTCAAAGTTGCAGTACTTTGGATTCAGAGGGGCTATTGCATCTGAATGCCCCCTTTGAATTTGTGACGTCAGCGCAGATCTAGCGATTTTAAAATCTTATTCTAACATATTTGTGAAGCAGTGATGGTAGGTATATGTCGTTTGCGCGTAACATTTGCCACTCTTTTAAGATACCAAATTATTGCTTCCAAATGACGTCGTAAGAAAAGCGAAGACTCCGAAAAATAAGCAAATGTAATTGATCTAATATCTCAAAACCGGTTAGTATTCTTTAATGAAATTTGGTAGATGTTTATTTTTGCTCACTCTGAACCAAACGACATCACTTTTATGCCAATTTATTAGCTTTTTTGAAGGTGGGAGGGTCCCTTTAACGAGCCGACATGAATGAATGGCCCTATTTCGCAGGTGAAGTTCATTAAGTTGCAAAAATGTATATGAGAGATGGGAGCTCAACTACCAAAGAAAAGAAAAGAGAAAGAGAGAGATATATAGAGAGAGAAAGAGAGAGAGAGAGAGAGAGAGAAAGAGAGAGCGAGCGAGAGAGAGAGAGAGAGAGAGAGAGAGAGAGAGAGAGAGAGAGAGAGAGAGAGAGAGAGAGAGAGAGAGAGAGAGAGAGAGAGAGAGAGAGAGAGACGGACGGACAGACAGACAGACAGACAGACAGACAGACAGACAGACAGACAGACAGACAGACAGACAGACAGACAGACAGACAGACAGACAGACAGACAGACAGACAGACAGACAGACAGACAGACAGACAGACAGACAGACGGACGGACGGACGGACGGACGGACGGACGGACGGACGGACGGACGGACGGACGGACGGACGGACGGACGGACGGACGGACGGACGGACGGACGGACGGACGGACGGACGGACGGACGGACGGACGGACGGACGGACGGACGGACGGACGGACGGACGGACGGACGGACGGACGGACGGACGGACGGACGGACGGACGGACGGACGGACGGACGGACGGACGGACGGACGGACGGACGGACGGACGGACGGACGGACGGACGGACGGACGGACGGACGGACGGACGGACGGACGGACGGACGGACGGACGGACGGACGGACGGACGGACGGACGGACGGACGGACGGACGGACGGACGGACGGACGGACGGACGGACGGACGGACGGACGGACGGACGGACGGACGGACGGACGGACGGACGGACGGACGGACGGACGGACGGACGGACGGACGGACGGACGGACGGACGGACGGACGGACGGACGGACGGACGGACGGACGGACGGACGGACGGACGGACGGACGGACGGACGGACGGACGGACGGACGGACGGACGGACGGACGGACGGACGGACGGACGGACGGACGGACGGACGGACGGACGGACGGACGGACGGACGGACGGACGGACGGACGGACGGACGGACGGACGGACGGACGGACGGACGGACGGACGGACGGACGGACGGACGGACGGACGGACGGACGGACGGACGGACGGACGGACGGACGGACGGACGGACGGACGGACGGACGGACGGACGGACGGACGGACGGACGGACGGACGGACGGACGGACGGACGGACGGACGGACGGACGGACGGACGGACGGACGGACGGACGGACGGACGGACGGACGGACGGACGGACGGACGGACGGACGGACGGACGGACGGACGGACGGATGGCGCATGGCGCAAAGCTGTTCAACTTAATGACCTGCGCCAATGCAGCACAACTTGAGCACGACCGTGAAAAGTTCTTTCTGTCCGTTTCTGTAACTTCAACTGTTTTAAGGATATAAATAGGCTAGGTGCGTGCATATGTTGATACGATGAGCGAATCTAGCAATACCTAGCTATAGGCACAAATGCCTTATTTGCTAAGCTGAATTCTGCTGTAACACCTGTGATCGCTCTACAGTCTACATAATTTATACTTCTTTCACTCTGATCTCTCCACTCTGCTGTCGTCCCGGAGCGCGGCCATGAGCACCTACCGAGCCACGTGCTGACGCTGACGGTATATCGCGGCGCCGGCTCACGGCAGTCTCCAGCCGGCTCAGCCGTAATTGGGTTGGGCGGCTGGACAAGATGAGCCCACCGTCGCCCCATGCATCCGCCGCGCGACGCGACTAAGCTGCGACTGATGGGACAAACGAGTGCTGGATAGGCGCTGGAGGCGTGAGAGGAAGAGAGAAAAAGGAGAAGGAGGAGTGGAGAAGAGAGGGAGATAGAGGGAAATGAGGGAAGATGGGAAGGGGATGAGTATAAGGTTTTGATGACGAGGACGTATGGGAGGAACAGCAACAGGAATTTATTGGAAAACGAAAAAACAGGCGAATCGTGGACTGTTTAATTTAATCGGAACGTTGTTCTTAAATATGGACCCTATGTAGATGCATAACGAGAACACTGCAAAACGAATGTACTAACTACGCTCTACAGTTGGCAATACCTAGTTGATAATGTTTTCTTGGGAGCTTTCTAAAATACCTTTGCTGAACAACGTTGTATGGGGGCAAATTAGCACTATGTAGATTCGGAGTGCTGCAATAAGGATTAAGGATATTCTTTAATTCAAAGGGGAATTTCACCCTCAACATACACGGACGAACACTTCTAGCCGTCAGACATTGCAAACAGATGGAGAGTGTAGAAGGAAAAGGTCTTAGTACACCTACTGTAGGTATACTTACTACGTCATGGGCAGGGCCTGGTGGGCATTACAATATGCACATCGTGATTGGTGTCATGTGATTCAAGTCAATATCTTGTGAAAGCTCTGTCTTCCTACATGATGTGTTTCGGTACACTATTTGTTGTTGTTTTGTTAGTTGAAATTTTCTTTGTTCTGACATTGTTCTGTTCTTTCCTTACAGTTTCGGAAAAAGAGATCCGGCAATGGTGAGTGTTGTGTTGAACTGATGACTTACAAACCGTATTAGCTCATGTCTCATGAATGCACGTACCAATTTTAATTCAACAAATTTAGGATGTCAAACGTATACCTAAGTCTGGTTCAAGTCTACCGACACACCAATCGTTAATCTGTTCTCAATTTAACCCTCGCCGGCACAGGCCATTTTGCGTCCTTGGACGGCACAAGGGGGGGGTTGGTACGACCCCCCCTCGCGTTTGTCCCCTGATCGAGCTAGAGCTTCGCGGAAAAACGAGCGTGTTGCCCTTCACGAGAGAAAGCCGATAATACCCAATTTCAAGGTCCTAGGTCATCGGGTGACCTTCCAGGTCAGGTCAATGACCCGAAAACCGGGAAAATCGGGACCTGTTAGAAAGTCGTAAATTGTGACTGCTATGTGGTTTTCCGGGGTGCGATCACGAATATCGTGTTAGTTTTGATCAGAGATGATGTCTTTAAGCATTTAGACCAGGTCGGGTCAGGTCAGGTCAGGTAAATCGGTAGGGGTTGTGACGGGTATTCGTAATACGTGTCAACCGCCTCTGACAGCTTCGTAACATGTTAAGAAGGCACCAAAACTACTTCGTAAATGTTCAAATGGTTGCTAAATTCGAATTCAGCTCCAAAAACTAGCCTAGAAACATGTAAAACTCGAAAAAGTGAACCGAGGTCATCCGAGGTCACCAAAGGTCAATGACCTGACCTGACCTTCAGGTGACCTTGACACCCACCCTAATGTATGGGAGCAACATCAAATCACATGTTTGAACGTTTGAAACCACGAAAAGCTTGCAAACGCGCGGCTAATGCGAGCTGACATACGCCGAATCGCGATTCCGGCCAAACATGGTCTCGGAAAAAGGTCACAGGTCAAAGGTCATTTGGGTCAGGGTCATGAAATTTTCAGGGTAGGTGTAAAATTGATCAATGCGAGGGTGCTAAAAGTTTCGTTGCGATCGGCCGCTTTTTACGCGAGTTATTCGCGAAAAACCTTAGGGGGGTGCATCAGCCCCCCCCCCCCCCTGTGCCGGCGAGGGTTAAGGGGTTTGGCCAGCACTGACCAATGATCATGCTCGTATGATGTATTACCACCACACACGACTGGCGAGTATCAGTTTCACTGGTTCACTAGTAGGTACGTACCAGTGTCAGGGCGGCCGAGGTGAGAGGTGCCGCAGCGGTGGCGCCTGTGGCGGCGGCCTGGACGCCGCCACTCGGGGCCCAACGACCACCGGGAGCCGTTCGGACAAATCACCTCCCATCCATTCCGGCAACTGGCCACCGACCGGCGCCGCAGCCGCTGACCGTTCCTCTGCCTGCCGCCGCTGAGTGTGTCACCCTCCCAACGAGGACTGTTCCGCAGTGGGGTCTCAGGCCGTCCCACCGTGCCGCTCAGGCCGACCCACCGTGCCGCTCAGGCCGTCCCACCGTGCCGCTCAGGCCGATCCGCCGTGTCTCTCAGGCTGACCCGCCGTGCCGCTCAGGCCGACCCGCCGTGCCGCCACCGGGCGTTCTCCCGTGCCGCCGCCTACCGTTCTGCCATCCCACCATGCTTCTGACCGTCTAACCGTACATATCTGACTGTCCCATTATGTCCACCTGACCGTGCCGCCGTGCCTTTCGTTAATCCCCCCCCCCCCCCTCTTCTGACCGATACTCAACAATCCCGACACATGTGACGCCATTTGATGGTGGCTGGAACTCATGAACTGCTGGGTCTTGACGGGATGATGTGATTTTTTGGGGGAACTCTTTCGCTTAAGTGTATCAAATGCAGGTGACAAACATTCAGTCTGCTGTTTTTTCAGGCATAAAGGCTTCTTGAAGGATTGTCCAGACGGCCTCCTTACAGAGCAGGTATGTGAGTGAGAAGAGAGAGAGAGAGAGAGAGAGAGAGAGAGGGGAGGGAAACAGGAAGAAGGACAGAGACGCATGTCTACTGTCTAGCCATTTTGATCCTTTACATCAAGTCTGACGGTGTAATTACGGTCGGGTTCAGAGGCTCATCAGGCGCCGGTCTACCGGACGCTGTTTGATGCCGTGTCGTAATTGGAGACCCTATCAGATGAGTGGCAGGACGGAGCGAGGAAGCCAGACAGAGCAGCGTCAGTATATGACACGGTGGCTCACCGGAATAGACATGCCACGTGAAATGGCAGCACACAGGAGATGATATGGTAAAACTGGCGCCGTTCGCTGGAGGAGACGGCCAGACCTGCCGCCGAAAGTACCGACCTGCCGAGTATGCGGCGCTGTCCGCCGGTAGTGACGGAACGACCTGCTGCCGTCCGCTATTGGAAGTACGGGCCTACATGCTGCCGGTGGGGACGGACCGACCTGCCGCCGTCCATCGGCGCGAGCGCCAAGGCGGCGACGTCATTAGTAGCCGGCAGGAAGCCGTAGGAAGGGCCATTAGTCGAGAATCGAGCACCGAGCCGGTACGGTGCGCCGGAGTATTGGATCGCTGCTCTGACAAACACAGGCGCTCGCTAACTGATTGCTGACCATACGAGTAGCACGCACAAGAGAACACATGCTTACAGACTATTGGCACATATACGTTCATGGCGTAGAGGAAGGCCTGACAGCAAAAAGCAAAGGTGGTTTTAGAGCATATGACGGTTCGAAGGACCAAAAGATAAAGAACAGGTTCTCGGAAAGCTAAGATATTATCTTGGGCTCTCAAATCCCAATACAGTGCATGTGTACTGTCATCAGCACCCGATAGTTTAACCCTCCCCGGCCGAGGGGGGGGGCGGGTGCCGCCCCCCCCCCCATAGGGTTTTTTCGCGCTAGCTCCGAACACGCTGGCGATAGAGAGCTGAAACTTGGCATACCTGACCTTTGATTCAAGCCGCATCTTTTGACACCAACTGCATTTTTGGGTCAGGTCAGGTCACTGACCTATGACGTCATAAGTGAACCTCTGCACGGTCTTCAGATGTCGCAACTTCGCAACGCCCTCACTGCCAGAGGAGATGTCACAGGGAAATGAAACTTGCAGGATCTAGTATCCATTATGAGTCTCACAACTTGTATATCTCGGATTTTTCCTAAAGGTCATATGAGGTCAGGTCATTTTCGTGACCTCACCATTATAAGTCAATGGGGAAAAATGAAAACTGCTATTCTGGCGCCGGGAACGATCTCCAACTATCTCAAGCACACAGAATCGTGATTTGATGCACTCCTTGCAAGGTTAGATGCGTCACTTTTGCAATGTTGACCTTGCGTGACGTCATTTATGACGTCATCAAGGTCATATTAGTTTTTCGTCAATAACTCTTGATCAAATTGAGCTAGCGAGTCGAAAAAGCCACCAATGGACTCAGGAAGACCTGCCGAATCGAATGATATGCGACATGACCTCTTTCGACCAACTTCGTGACCTGGGGGTGCTGACCTGACCTTGACCTGAGGTCAACACCCCAAGTTGATCTGACCCGGACAAAAAGTATATCATTCGACGCGCCTGAGCGAGGCGAACACGATGCTGCCAAAATCGCGGCTCTGCGGCCGTTTTTTGCGAAGTTATTCACCAAAAACTGAACCGTACCCTGGGGCACTTGACCTGACCTCAGAGGTCACCGGTTGACCTAGGACCTTAAAATCGGGTACCAATCTTTGCGTCTCGTAACGGCGCACACGCTCGTTTTTTCCGCGACGCGCTAGCTCCACCAGGGGCGAAACGGCGAGGGGGGGGGTCGTACCCGCCCCCCCCCCTCGGCCGGCGCGTATGTAGAAAACCAATAGGTCCGGCGAGGGTTAATAACGGGAGCGTGCTCTCAGCGTTGGTCATCAGCCGCGTCCGGTCGGGAGGTCGGTGGTGTTGGCCGAAGGATCCACAAGGCGAGCTGACTGATGTCCCCCTACATCTTCGACCGGCACCCTCGGCTGCATGGCTTATCTGCTCTTTATGGGCGCCCAGCCATCATAATACCATCACCAAATGCGTTCAGGAATATAGGCTGGCTTTTAAATGTCGGCGAACTGAGCGGCATTATATCCTGCAGAAATGATGGCCAATAGCGGAAGGTTATTGGCCGCAGAATCGTTCGGTCGTCCCTGGACGCACAATAACGTAACAGGCTCTCTGGCACGCAGCCAGGAAGCCGTCCAAGCAATAGCCCGGCGCCACGGCGCGATCGTCAAACAGTTGCATTAACTGATGCCGTGGATGGGAGCCTTAGGCAAAGGTCAAGAGTGTCTGCGAGCTACACAAACTGTCACATGAGTGACTGTTTCAGCGGCAAAACGGCACAATGAACTCGATATGAACTCGACATGCAGTAATATCGCTGATGTTAAGTTAAATAAGGTGTACTAACTATGGTCATATCATCCCCCGCACTACAGAGTCTATCACTATGGAGCTTGTATGCAAATGAAAATCTCCAATTAGGCACTAGTGACTTTATATTGGCATATAAACTTTCGGTACTATGTTGTGATGAGTGCCATGTCACTGTGCCATCACTAGTGTGCGCCATGGCTATGAACTCAGAGATGCGATAGCCATGCCACGTTGTCGTTCGTCTGCGACATTTCTCAACAATTTCCAGAAACACCATCAAAATACATCAGATGCCATCAGCCTTGGGACCGTTTCGGCCATTCGTTTTGATGCTTTTAGCCGAGCTACTCGGAGCCAATGGCCAAAGTAGCCGGATAGACGGCAAGTGGAGCGGAAATATTACCGCATTTGATAGCTGCCTGCCCGGACCGTTCAGCCATGTTCGAACACGCTACTGACTATTCTGGGCAGATATATGGTACACTTATTATGAAATGGTGAGCCTCGGATACCACCCTGTACTAATTATTAATTCATTGAGGTTCATTAAGTATGTTGCAATGAATATGCGGAATACATATTGTACTCGCCCGTATGATTTCTTCCTACTAGTAGGTACGTATTACGTAAAACGTGTCTCACAAAATGTGGTTTGGTTTCAGGGGTTCATCAACATATACAAGCAGTTTTTCCCGCAGGGCGACCCGACCCGGTTCGCCACTCTCGTGTTCCGGGTGTTCGACGAAAACAAGGTGAGGACCGCAGCTATAAGGCACGTGAAAGGAATGAGAGTCCTTTTTCAGTTCGTTCAGACGTTCTGCGAAAGTCTCATGTATTAGGAGGGTGTATAATTGATATGCATGCAACCCTCTTTACAATGGTAGCCCTTTGGCGCACGTTCGCACGCGCCAAGGGCGCACCCCCGGCAGCATCACGTCCAAAATTTAATACGAGCTATGTGTTAGGGTGGCCCGCACATGTCCTGAAAATTGCACGGCTGTAGGTCAACGGACGCCGCCGCAATAAGCGCTAAAAAAGTGACTACGTCGTATAGTATGTGCTACAGTATAGTTTAGTATTTTTTACTATAGTATAGCGCATAATATTTTTTTGTAGTATGTGCTACTGCATATGACTCATGTTTGCCTTACATCGAAGGCATTTGCTACCCATGTGATTAGTCTATTTACGGTCTTGCAATCAGGAAAACAAACTCCCTCGTGACATTAGCCTTCGGCCAGAAGCCATCAAAGCCATGCGGTGTGCCGCCGTAAAAAAATATCTGAACAGATTTTGTCTAGTAATACCGCCGGCCCACCCCGAACCCCTCCCCGACCCCACCCTGAGCCTGTCCAATTACTGTCTGGGGCGTTATCAGCCGGTGCAGCGCCAGTGCCCCGGGCCATATCCATCGACCCCGTATTGATATGGGCCGAGTGCTATACGGCGGCCCACCTGGCGCCGGCCTATGACGCACCCGGGCCGTCCCATACTGCACCCTATCTGGGCCGACACTCGCCCCCTACCCCACTGTCCACTCACTGCTGCGGATATCGCACCGACAGCGCGGCCTCTTACCGAGGAAAGGTCGCAATAAATAGTCTGTGAGCACGGAGCTACACAGTCTGACACAAAGCTATCAAGCATCACTCGTTTACTTGCTGATACGAACATGGCCACTGACTCTACATAAAGTTGATTTTTTCACATCACACAGCTGCCGCCCTTGATTGACCCCAGCCACTGCGGAGGACGTGTCTGCATTACTGTGGAGGCTGCACGTAGACCGTGACGTGACCCGTGACGTGGCCATGTCGTTTACAGGACGGCAGCATCACGTTCGAGGAGTTTATCCGAGCGTTATCCATCACGTCAAGAGGAAGTCTGGACGAAAAACTACACTGTAAGTATGCAATATGCATGCAAGGTCCTGCCATAGTTATTTATTACACTATGGTCCTGCTTAGATGCCTAACGGACGTCCTCAAGACTCAGTTGCACCCAAAATGTTTGCACTGGTGATAAATAACCTAATACAGCACATTATAAATAGCTTTATATTTATTACTGAACTTCGGGAAACACAACTGAAGGCCCTTTCGAAGTTTGAAGTGAAGACAGACACCAGACTATATAAATGAGGATTGCATCATGGACTTCATCATTGACTTCAGACGCCTGATCAGCTAATTTCGGGTGAGCATGAAGTTTTAGAGTTTGTTCCTCAAAAGTTCCCTGGAGACGGACACAGCCTGCACCAATCCCATCGACTTCATCTGGCCTGTACCCCTCTGCGATTACCTGCAGGTCATTCCCATCTACAGAAACTTAAAAGCGTGCCTACTTATCAATTCCATTAGAGAATGACACATATCCCTGACACTTGACTTCCGTTCCGAGCTCTCTGACACTGACATGTGATGTAGTTCAGTGACAGCGCGCGACGTGTAGCTGACACCGGGTCATGTCATCCGGCCGACGGACACCGAGTCGTACCCTATCACGCGATGTTGCCAAGGCTCTCAGCTGATCCGACTGGCTGCCGGCATTCGCATGTTAATGCCAGGACGTTGCATGTCACTTCAACCCGTCACGACGCTGCAGATAGTCTGCAGGAAGTCTTGGAGACAGTTGGTAACCGTATACGTGCCCATGAAACAGGCTAAGTTGAGATCGAGCGCAGCATGCGTATGAAACATAATGATTTGTCGCGAAGGAAAGCTATTCCTTTGGTGCCAAGATGATATGTTTGTTTATGAAACAACAATAACGTGAATCTCGTTATCTTCCGTCGCTTCTCTTTCTCACACACCAAGGTCCAAGCTTCATCATCCATCCGTGGGCGTAAACGTCCAATTCGTCTTTCTGAGCCACCCTTTCACACCGTCTAACTCCTTCCGTTATCGTCCTTTGCATTTCCTTCTCCGCCCGTCCTTCTCCGCTAGGCCTCAATTCTGAACCACGCAAACCACACATCCACCGTTCCCCGGTCGGCGTCCGCTGCACCTAATAACGCTCGCAGCTCGATGAAAAGTTGCCCGGGGCGGCTCACTCCATCCCCGGCCCGGCTCAGTCGAGAGGCAGAGCCGCCGGGAGCTGCCGGGAGCCGCCAGGAGCCACCGGGAGCCGCCAGGAACCGCCACTCCACGCAGGACAAAGACGGCTTGCACTGCACGCTAGCAGTGACGACCACATGAATGGCATTGTGTTAGGAAAGTTACAACAGCACACCGACATTGCACCATGAGGAAATTCTAGAAAACAAGCATATTTCATCAAACCATCTATTCATAACCATTTCCCTGTATTTCGGGGCTCAAACACATACTTGACAGGTCACGCATTGTACACAGTGCAGTAAAAAAAACGCTCCCATCTCCATTCCCCTATTTGCTCCCTTTGCCCCCACGAGACAGGTATCTCGCTAGTTCAGGGTCAGACATAGGGTCACGGTCCAGGCCCTGGGCAATAAACTGTGCCCGCATTTCCTGATAGAGCTCGCGATACTTTTTCAGAAGGTCTGTCGACCTAGGAAGCTGCTCCGTCTCTATCATCCGAGAAGGGGTTTCGGTATCTGTTAGGATCGTGGCGAGGTCGTTCACAGCAATATCGGAGCCTTTGTCGTCATGCGTATCGAGTAAGCATTCGTGGTCGTTCCTGTTTCTCGATTCACACGAGTTTTCACTGCCCCCAGCTTGCCAGTTGGTGTCGTCCTTGTCGTTGGGCTCGATGCTGCTTCCAGTTGTGTGGGCTGCTCCCATGAGGATTGACGTGGCGTTACCACGGAGCACGGCAAGCGACACTCGCTGAAAGAGGTACTCTGTAGCCCTCCTGTCGCCGCTTTCACGTGCTATTCGCCGACCTACGTCCTTCAAGAACTGGACAGTGGACTGTCCCAGTGAGCCACTCGTTTCGACGGCGATGGGCTGGAACTTGAAACGCCTTTCCAGCGCTCCATAGCGGCGCCTCTTCCGGCTTTCGGCGGCTTCTGCTGCAGCTCCTGCATGGACCGCCGATTTACCGATGATGTAGCTGGCGTATGTATCGACGCAGGTGCTATCCCATATAAGGCACTTGCCTTCGGTGAAGGGGAAGGTGGTCATCCCATCCGGGCGCCGGCCGTCGCCGCGATCAAGGCCTGTTGGTTCCAGCACTGATGGCATGCCTGCACTGTGCAGGGCGCGTTTTATGACATCATTCAGCGCGGAGTGTCGCGGCAGACGGCCCGCACTCAGTTGGCAAGACAGCGAGTGCAGCCCCAGGGTGTCGACGGTGGATCCGCACCGGCAGCGGTGAGGAGCACATACCGGAGCGCCGACTCGAAGAGCAACAGCTACTCTGAGAGTTTCATGGTCGAGAAGTGTTCCGAGACTGGGCACAGGCAGTGCGTTCAGCCATGCACCGGAGTGCGGCTGCGCTGCTGCGTGAAGTCGGGCACGGTGTCTGTCATCGGGACTAGCCTCGAGCAGCTTCGCAGCTTCAGCGGCTGCCGCGGTTAGATCTCAAACGCGCTGCCGTCCCTGTTCGGAGGCGTCCGGGAGCTCGAGCCCAGTCTCCACTTTCCACCGTTGGTGCGACGATGTCTCGAGCCGATCGATGCTCTCTGCCATGCTGGGGATGATGTCCATGATCAGGGGAGCGGAGGATCTTAGCGATGCAATATATGCTGGAAGAGCTAAGTCAGAGACCCTCCGGATTCCAAGTCCACCCAGACTCACAGGTAGAGTAGCCTGTCGCCATGATTCACCTTGCAGTGCCACGTTTGTGACAGCCGTGATGCCTTGCCGAACAAGCTCGTCAATTTCTGAGAGGATTGTTGCACTACGAAATGCAGGAGTGCTGCGGAGAAGGTACAGGAGACGTGGTGCGCACACATAATTTTTCAGGAGATAGAATGCTTGATGCGCTTCTTCGAGACACTGCACTCGGCTCACGAGTTTGTTGACGAGCTTGCTTCCCGGTCAAAAGCTGTGCCTTCACTTGATCGTCGCAGATTGGTGCGCCAAGGAGCTGTAGTTCCTCGGGACGCGTCAGACGGATGTCAGGCAATAGCTCTGTTAGTCTGAGCAGCGCATCTGGCTGCCAAACCTCTCTGTCGGCTCCCAGCAGAACCAGCTCGCACTTACTGCCATTGACCTGCAGTCCTTTATCGGCAAGTTGTTCCTTGATGCGTCCAATGTTGCTGGTAACCTGATCGAGTGGTCCTCCCACTGTGCCGTCATCCAGGTACCATACGTTCAGGTCAGAGTCGATACCCTGTGATATGTCGTCAATGGCCATGGAGAAGAGAAGAGAGCTCAGAGGGTCTCCTTGCTGGATTCCTGTGCGGGACCAGACCTTCGAATCTCCGATGTATAGCGGTGACGCAGTTGCATATGCTTGCCAGATGAGCGGGTAGATGGAAGGTACTCTGGCGCGGGCGGTTTCGAGCATGGTGTCCCGCCTTACGGAGTTGAAGGCGTTGCTGACGTCAAGTTTGATGATGGCCGTGGGCTGGGCTGAGCTTACGGCGTGCTTCACAAAGGCTCGAACAGCGTGAACAGCAGCTTCGCACCCATTGCGCGTTGCAACCCCAAGTTGGATGGGTCTCAGCTCGGTCCCGATGCGTCTGGACACACTGTTGGCTGCCACTTTAGCAGCAATTCGCCTGAAGACGCTACCGATGGCAATCGGCCGCAGGCCTCCCGTTTTCTTCCGCAGCGCTACCAAGGAGGCACCGAAGAAGGCCCGCAGAGCGAATTCCGGGATCTGGCCGCTGAGTGCGAGATTCGTCAGAGCTGTAAGCGCTGTGAGAAGTCGCGCTCCAGCCTCGGCGGTGGGCTTAGCCACAAGGCATTGCAGGTGAGCTGGTCGGATGCCGTCCAGGCCAGCGCTCGAGCTTCGAGGGAAAGAGCTGATTGCCTTTAAGACATCGGCTTCAGTCGCAACCAGTGAGGCTGTGCTGGCATCAGGTGGCTCGAGATTGCGGAGATCAGGAGGCGGTTCAGGATGTTTGTCGGCGATGCTTTCAATTACTTCAACGGTAGGGCTCGCGAATGAGTCGTCTGAGGTAATGATTCGCAGAGCTCCCCGCACGTCGCCGTCAGCCAGCTTTGACGACACGTGTCTGGAGAGATCAGCATTAGTGTCGCTCGTTTTGCGGCGAGATGCTGCTGGACGGCTGCCGTCCTTCTCGAAGAGGTCATCATTCGCGAAGTTGGCGATGTTCTCGCGAATTGCAGCTGTAAGCGTTTTGTGGCGTACTTTGTTTCTTCGCGTCTTAGGTGCTTTGATGACTGCGTAAGCGAAGCTGAGAAATGACTTCCAAGCCCTAGGTGAGCCATCAGTTATCACAGTTGTGATACACTGTGCTAGCGTGTCGGCGACAGCAATGCGTGCACTTTTTGGTATGTGAGGAAGAACTCGGCCTCGGCCATGACGCTTGAGGTCAGCTATGAAGTCGGCGAGGTCATCCGGTTCTGTGCCGCTGCTTCCTTTTCTGTTTGGACACCGCTCACCAAAGCGGCAGCTGGTGCATTGCCGTCCATTCTTTGCACAGCTGCACCCAGTGCATGGCCTAGTGGAGCATTTGCAGCATTCCTTTTTAGGCATAAAAAGTTACGTATAATATCAAATAATGCCGGAGAAATACCTACACCAAATACGGTGTATCTCCGTTGAAGCCAAGTGAGCGAAGGGAGTGATAAACTTTCAGCGCGCGATCATTAATGAAAAATCGAGCAATGTAGGTCAGCTTCGTCTACTCGAATTGTATGGATTTTACCGAAAATATTATATTTTTACAAGCTTATATCTTCATAACCATTTTAGCCTATTTATTCATTATTTATCAAGCCTTTCATTGGGCTATTTTCAATCACTTTTTATACCTTCTTGAGCTCACCAGAACCTTGCCTTCATGTG